ACAGCAGGGATGGCACATGCTCATGTTCCCCACCTTGGGTCTGTGGGTGAGGAGGGGGATGCACAACCCACGTGTGGGCCAAGCCCCTTGAGATCTCCTCCTTCTCTTCCAGTGAGAGCGCTTCCAACCTCAAAGCCTTGTTTGACTTCGTCCAGACATCCCTGACTGCTGCTGGCAGCGACTCCTGGAAGGGCCCCGTGCTGCTGGTGGACGACCTCAGTGTCCTGCTCAGCCTGGGTGCCACGCCAGTGGCAGTGCTGGACTTCATCCACTACTGCAGAGTCACCGTGTGCTCCCAGCTGAAGGTACTGCTCCTTCCCTCCTGTGTGCTACGGGTACAAAAGAGCCTCTGGAGCAAAGCCTGGCTTCCTTTTCTTTGTCCACCTGTGAATGGTGATGAGTTTTTGGAAGGCTTTGGCTGTCCAGGATGTTCAAATCATTGCTCTAGGCCACTCTCAGGGAGTTGTGTTAATTCCTGGACTACCTGTGTAGGGTCCTTTGCAACAGGTTTCCCAGGAGGTGCTGCCCAGAGAAGGGCTTTTCTCTGTCCCTGATGTGTGAGCAGGCTTTACCATGAGGGTGATGGAGCCCTGGGACAGATGCCCAGAGAGGGTGTGGAGTCTCCATCTCTGCAGATGTTCAAACCCACCTGGACACATTCCTGTACCACCTGGTGTAGGGAACCTGCTTTGGCAGGGGGATTGGACTTGGATCATCTCCTGAGGTCCCTTCCAACCCCACCAGTCTGGGATTTGAGGTGTAAAATACTGGTTCTTAGAACTCCTGGAGAGCCAGAGATCTCTACTCACACCCATGTTTGTGTGTGTGTGTGTGAGAGGGGAGAGATGGAAACGGGTTAGGAAGGTAGTGAGGGGCTGATGAGTATCACAAGGGACAGAGATGGAGGTCCACGTGGAAGGGACACGAGTCTCTGCTTCCACCAATCTTCAGCGTTGCCCTGTGTTGCACCAGCTGGTTTCTGAGGACACAGCACTTCTACAAAGATCTCCCCAGTGATGTGGTACCTTCAGAGAGTGTCACAGCCAAAAATCATTACAGTCACATCCATCCTTTGCTATTTACATGGCAGCATCCCCCACCCTGGCCACTTCTCTCTCTGCTTGAGTGAGAAATAAAGTAGATGGTGTCAGGTTTTGTTATCCTGCACTTCATATGGTGCCAGGGTGTTTGTCCTGTCAATGCTGACGGGGGATGTTCTGCTTGCTGAGAATATTTACCTCAAAAACAGCTCAAAAAAGATGGTAAATCATGCTAATACATTTCTGTTTCTAATATATTCTGGAGCTTTAAAGTACATTTTAATTCATGTTATTTTAAGTCCTTGGTGACCTACCTGGGCTGAGGCAGAGACTCTTGGGATGTATTTTTAACAGAGCTGGGGAGCTCTTTGCTTCTTGCTGGAGTGATGAAGGTTTGAACATCACAGCTCTGGCTGCAGCCATTTGACCAAGTCTTTATTTAACTGTTCTGAATTAGAGAATCACAAAATTACCAGATCATAGTGGTTGGAAAAGACCTTTAAGATCATTGAGTCCAACCATGAACCTACCACTTCCAATTCCACCTCTAAATTCATTAATTCAGAGTTGCCATTTGCTTGGCCTGACAGACTGGTTTAACTGGACAGCTGTCACAAAAGCTTGATGTATTTTTAGGCTGCATATTCCATATATGTGTGTGTGTGTGAATATGTTTACACAATATATGTACAGCAGGCTGCTTCAGAGATGTATATCTATATATATATATCTGCTTTTTATTTTCCCAGTGGACTTGAGCTCAGAACCAGCTGCAGGGCTGGGGGATCTCTAAGTAGCTTAGTTAGCAGTGCATCTGTGCAAGCTCCCGTTGCTATCTCTCCTTCCTTACCCTCAGCAGATTAGGAATTAGCCAGCAGCTCACTGCTATGGATTAGGAATTGGGACTCAGCTCAGCACTGCCTGGTGCTCTCGTTCCAGGGGAACATCGTGGTGCTGGTTCATAGCCACGAGGATTCAGAAGATGAGGAAAACGAACTGGTGGTGACCTCCCTGTGTCATCACAGTGACCTGATCCTGTGGGTGGAAGGGTTGGCGACTGGCTTCTGCAAGGATGTTCACGGGCAGGTAACGCACTGGAGAGCACGGAGAGGTGGCACGTTAGTGTCACATCCAACCCTGCCCATGGGGAGGTGGGACACGCTCCATCTGCCCCGTGGGACATGGCCCAGGACCAGCCTGGTCTGCAGCCTGGCTAAGGGCTGACAAGCAGCCTTGCCGTGGTCACCAAGATCTGCTGCAGCACCCAGGCTCATATGGCTGTGACTCTGCTTCTGCAGGGATGCTGAGGGACATTGGGCTGCCTGGGGACTCCCCCACATCTGGAAGTTGGAAAAGGTTTATACAGCAGCTGCAGTGCAGGCTGAGCCCTGCCCCAGGGTGACAGCAG